TACAAAGCTCACAGTTGGACCAGAGTCACGGAACCAAGAATCATTCATGCTCATCTCAACAACTCTGATATCCTCTGGAAGCTGTTTCCTTGCATTTTCCCACTAAAGACCAACACAATCATGCAAGCAAGCAAAAGGAATTACAGTCTAACTGGTGGTACATTAGTCTTTATACTCTACAGAACATTTCAGGTATGATTCTACACAAACCTGAGCTGAGCTGGCACAGACTGTCACAGGCTCGAACTTGGAGATAGCCTTCGCAACATCTGCAAACACTCTTTGTGCAGGAAAAGCCTTGTGCCGCCAGTTGTCCTGCCGTTCCTGCAGCAAAAACCAGATCCAAAAATCACAAAAGCAGGTTAGTGTTAACACTGTTTGATTCATGTAAACAGCGATCACACGTGTCTTAACAATAATCATATATTTTCTATAGTATAATGGCCAAAAAACCATTGATAAACCCAAATGCTATCTCTAACAAAACGCTTGTAGTTAGACATAGATTTCAATGCTTCAGATCTATGTGCTAATTTGAATTGAAGCATTTCACAAAATTCTTAGAGGAAAACTAAAAAACGGAGTTCAGAACCTAAAAAACCAGAGAATTCAAAATTCGTCGGAAACTCCAGGAAGAAGTCAGGGTTTTTGTAAGAAACAGAAACAGAGAAGTTATCAAACAAATCGAAGATGGCTAAATTACGAGCACGATCGAGAAACGAAAACTAAAAAATGGAATCGAAGGTTGCATGTGAACAAGTTTGAAGTCTCGAGAATCGCCGCCGTCGATTTCTCTTCTCCAATCAGGGAACAAACATGGAAAAAAAATAAAGAGGAGAGAGAGAGAAAGAGAGAATTACAGGCCAACCGATCCAAGTCTGAGCATGAGGCTCCCATTCCGCCGGCATATAGTAGCCGTGTTCCGCCGGCGATCCTATAATCTCCACCATTTTCTGACGATGATTTTTGAGAGAGCTGAGAGAGAAGTCAGATACTTTTACTGATATAAAAGCATTTTTGTTTAGGAAAACAAAAAAAAGATTCCGAATACTTTTCAGAGTTTACTTTGGACCATAGTCTCTTATTTTTACTGCAACATTCTCGATTCCCCGGCCCCACCTCTAGACTCTAGTGGCTTTAGCGGAATCAGAATCCATACGTATACGATACATTACATAACAACATAGAAGTGGTAAGTAAAAGCATGGGAATCCCCCAACCCCAGTGGCGAATAAAGACAAATGAGTTGTTTCACAACCGTAGATATCATAAAAACACAAAAAAAAAAAAAAAAAAAATCATTAAAAATGCCCATTTTCGCAATCTTCAAACAAGGGTAAGCATTATGCAACAGAATGTGACATATTGGAACAATTTTCTCCTCTTCTCTATATAGACAGAGATATCTGGTGTTTCGAGATATCTGGTGTTTCGCATAAACATAAAGCTCAAGTGTTTCCCGAATAAAAAGATACTATGAGGTATAACGATTAAAAATTAAAAATTGACATAGAGATTTCAATGTTCTGGAGGTAAACGCCATTTGAAATCGACCATTACTACGAAGAAACATATGATTTATGATACGACAATACAGAACTAAAACTATAAATCGTGCACAAAACTGAATAAATAAGCAAAAGCAAATTTCAAATCATATTCATTAACCAACCCCTAAGGCACAACAGAAACACATATTAGTTGGGTGTTTCTTTTTGGTTCTTTGATTCTAGTTTCTAAATCAGACTACAGAAGATGAAAGCTCTTTAACATCGTCAGCGACTTGTTCGTAGTCCGTCTTTAACTTTTGAAGATCGTCTGCACTCAACTCTCCTTTTGCTGGTTTAAGCATCACCAACACACAACAAGTAGGTCTCTTTGTAGACCCAGCTTGCGCAAGATCCTGAAAATGCATCCAATTCAAACCAACGTCTTAGACACAAGAACTCAATCCATAAACACAGGAGAAATGAATGAATTAAGGAAGAAAGAAAACTGGCTTACTTCTTTGGATGGAACGTATACGTAAGGAACACCAGCCTCCTCACACAAGATTGGAAGATGTGTAATCACATCAATGGGAGATATGTTTCCAGCAATAACGCATATTCTGCACACACAAGAGACATAGATTAGACACTTCAAGCCTTAAGAACAAATAGATACAACTTACATCAAAGAAACAAATTAAAACATTGATTTTAATGCAAAACAAGAAAGGAAAATGTGGGTTTAAACCAGGCCCGCAAATCAAAGAACCAAATAGGAACTCAGAGAGGGCACAGACATTTCAAACCCTAATTCAGTTTCCGTGCACAGTACCATGCTACATTCATTCTGTTATCCAGAGCATCGGCTTAGTTGTACACGGATCTAACAAACACTAAGCAAATGTTTATCCAAGAACAATCAAACACATTATAACAAGCAAAAACATAGAATGTGGATCTCAACCAGGCCCTCTAATCATACGCAATTCATAGAGGGCAGACATATCAATCCGCGGTGGCTCAGTTTCCGTGCACAGTACCATGCTGCATTCATTATTTATAATCCAGAGCATCGGCTTAATTGTACACGGCTTGTTCATATATCAGAATCAATAAAGTGTGATAACCAAATAAATACTAAGATTTAACAAAGGCAGAGAAATTGGAATGTGGATCTAAACCAGGCCGTCTCATCAAGTGAAACTAATCAGAGATGGCAGACATGTCGATCCATGATTCACTTTTCGTGTACGGAACCATGCTACATTCATTATTTTTAATCCAGAGCATCGGCTTATTTGTACACGGTTTGATAATAAACTAAAGCAATCATTTGACACATTCAAGACGCACAGATTACATGAAAGCAAGACGAGAAACTAACCCTTTTTGGCCACGTCTAATGCTCTTTACCACTTCCTTCACTCCTCTCTTCAAGCATTTCTGTCCAGCAGCTGACAAAATTACAGACCAATAACACTATCAGAGGGAGTTTTGTCCAAATAACACAGAGAACTTTCTACCAATCAAATCAAAAGACTTCAAGCGAGCTCAAAAGTCTAGAATAATATCAAGTTTCAGAGAATAGTACAAGAGTAAAACATGTATCAGTTAGGTGAGATTACTACCTTTTTGAATGAGTTTGAATGTTCTCTTCTGGAGCTTTTTACCGGCGAGAGGTTTGGCGATAGGCGCAAGAGACACAACCTTCTTCTTCTCCTTCTGAATCGACTTCTCTGCTTCGGTATCGCTTCCCATTATTTTAGCTAGCTCAAGTAAAAGTGGCGGAAAGTGTGGCGGCAACAAAGTAAGGTTTATGACTATATTGTTCTCAGACCTACAGACTTTAGGGTTTTATAGAGGTGCTTGACCTAGAAAAATTTATAGGAAACCCTAACTCCATATGGGCTTGTAAAGTATGTCATTACATTTTTGATAGATTCTAAGTATTTGGGCCTTAATACGAGCGAAAGCCAAAACTTTACTTGTTGGTGCTAACTTGCGCCGCCTTGGGTACATTAAAATCTTTTTGGCTCACAAAACTTTACATTTCACTCCCTATATTTTAAGAATACATTGAAACGTCAACATGACTTTTGTTAAAGGATTATTTGACCACTTTACTCCTTTTTTTTTTTTTTTTCTGGATATCTTGTAAACATTATGTTTGATTGAGAAAATTCGGTGACATCAAACGATTGAATAGTGAAATCATTTTAGTTGAATATATTTTTTTGTTGGAATAACTTTGGTTCGAGGGAATGTGGCTATGTATATCCTTCATAGAGAGAATCAATTGCACATCTAAGGATTTATAAAGTTTCCTGAAACATTTCGAAATGTTACGACGGAGTTTATACATTGTTTTTTGGCCATTCTAAATTTGATAGTACTGTAGACAATATCTGACCTATTTGAATGCGGAATCTAACCATTGCAATTGATTAACTGGAATGTCATAAACAAAAAAAAAATATGATATGAACGAGCTCTCAAAATCTTGATGAAGTACTTAGAGATGTGTAAAACTTGCAAGAACATAAAGAATCAATAGCTACGAGATAATAATGGTAAGCGAAAATAAATGAATCCGAGTGTATTCTCTCTAGATGAAGAATGTTTACAATGAAACTGGACTTTTCAATACATGAAACAAAAACAGAGAAAGGAACATAGAGTATTAATCATAATTCATACTATAAAATTCTTCTTAATGTAACATTAACCCAAAGCTTAGGCCGCATATCAGCCAGCTATGAGCATATGTATACTCAACTAACAAGCAAATCAAGGAACCAACAAAATAGAGACTCAGTCAGCGGAAGAAGATCTTGTAATTCTCAAGTCAGTGATAAAATCGATTACATAATACATTCTTTCTCAGAAACTCAAAAACGGGTTTAAAAGCAAATGATCGACGAAGAGGCCAACGCTGGATGCAGAGGTTTATCGATCTGTTCATGCTTTTTGATTTCTTTCCAACAAGAAACATTCCCAGGAAGAGATCGATGAACCGCTGCCTCCAGCGATTTTCACTCTTTTGAAAAATAAATGGAAAAAAAAGAAAAAAGGTAAGAATTTTACCAAATCGGAGCAAACAGAAAAACTCAGATCTGAAAAGAAAATCAATGGTAAAAACAATTACCAGAAGTAGTAGCTGCTAGTTACTTGCTAGATCTTCATTGCCTCATCAGTCAATACAGACAAAAAAAAACACACCCTTTAATATTGTACAAGTACATACATAGATACACATGCATCTGCAGAAGTTTGAACAAGGAATCTCATGAGATACCATTTCTGTTTTTATGAGATTCCATTTCTTTTTTGCCTATTGGCCTACCTTTCCGTTCGCCTCTCTCTCTCTCTCTCTCTCTCTCTCTCTCTCTCTCATAGCAACACATGGATATGGATCAGGTTATGACTCATTTAATTATTTTAGATCCTATAACGAAGCTATACATTTTTTTTTGTCAAACAACATCTATTCGGTTGAAATAACGTTTAAGCTGTTTGAACCAAACAAAAAAAAAATCGTTTAGATGATTGATGTGTATCATAAGCAAAGCTTACACTTATACCAAAAGTTAACACAGGTTTTGATATTCTGGCGTCAATTACAAGTTAACAACTATCCGTAGATACATACACTGGCGAGGAACTACTGAAATTGCTCTATCCACTCTCCAATTTCAACTTGGATTAGATTATGGGCTATAATATGTAGAATTCGTAAAAAGCCCATTTGACTGGTTTTGGAAAAACAATATAATCAATCTTACGCGCCGTAAATCAATTTGGGGAAAGAGTGGAAGTCACGCGCTAACTTTTGGTATTCTGTTTTGCCCTAAATCGAACTTCTGTCTGAATAGAGAGAGAGAGAGGCGAAAAGGAGAGAGAAAATCTGCCCGATAAGATTCGTCCGGCCGTCCTACTTCCCCCGTCTACCGATCTCGCCGCGACTCGGTCTCGAGACTCGGTTAACTTGCCAGATCTCCGTCGTTAATCCGCTTCCGGTTCGATCCTTCGGTTAGTCGGATCTTCTATTTTTTTTTGTTGGCGGCGTAGATCTTCGTGTTTCCACATGTTCTAGTAACTTACTGTTTAAATCTGACGCTTGTTTCGAATTCCGATTATGCAGAGTTAAAAGGACTGGGGATTTCAATGAGTTAGATGGATAGTTCAAAGAAGTTGGGAGGACCTCCGAGAAACAAGTCGTCTTTCTGGGATTTCCACACTATGGCTATCAACTGTAAATTGCATGAACTGAGAAGCTCTGGCAACAGATTTTCTTGGGCTGGTTGGAGAGACAAAGTGAGGGTTCAATGGCGTTTGGACAGGAGTTTCGGCAACGACGGATGGTATCAGTTATTTCCTTGCTCTCAGTTGGAGTATATGGATATGTGGGCATCTGATCATAGACCCCTCAAAGTTTGTTTTGCTATGGAGACTGAATTGCTGAACAGAGGAAGGTTTCGAAGACGTTGTTCAACGTGGATGGAATGCACACAACTTGGGAGAAAATTGTACTGTTCTGGATCGTATCAGCAGTTGCAGAAAAGAGATGTCGTGAAGGAAAATAACTTATGATCTTAATTCTCATAATCAACACAGCAAAAGCCCTTGTGCCTCTCCAGGTATTGACACATCAGCTTTTTAAAGCTTTCTACACTTGACACATCATTTAAAATGAACAACCAATAGAAACATTCTAAATAATACCAGTCAGCAATTTTAACAAAATTTAAACACGTCATCCGTCTTATAACGACTGCGTTTTGTCTTCTCAACGTTTCTTCTTCTACCCTTCTTCGTCACTGAATTTGCCGGCGGGTTTCTTTCTACTCAAATCCAGACTCTCATTCAAACACTAAAATAGCAGCACGAGCAGATGTGGAATTTGGTGCTTAAACACTAGGGAGTGTCCTGACGAGTTTGGATCCTGGTGACTCCATTGTTATCTCCAAGGCTTTCTCCCACATGCTTAACTTAGCCAATTTGGCTGAGGAGGTGCAGATTGCTTACCGCCGTAGGATCAAGAAGCTGAAGAAGGGTGATTTCGTTAACGAGAGCTCTGCGAGTACCGAATCAGATATCGAAGAGAGAGACTTTGAATACAAGAGGCTCGTTTCGGATCTTCGTAAGTCTCCTGAAAGAGATCTTTGATGCCTTGAAGAATTAGACTGTGGATCTGGTTTTGACTGCTCATCCTACTCAGTCTGTGCGTAGATCGTTGCTTCAGAAGCATGGGAGGTTAGTATTTGACTTCCTTTGGCTTCTCTCTGTTTGCTTAAGAGAGTGAGTCACACAACTCTGATGAAAAGTTTAAAAAATGGTTTCTCAGGATAAGGGATTGTCTTGCTCAATTGTATGCAAAGGATATTACTCACGTTGACAAGCAAGAGCTCGAGAGGTATAATTATAATCTCAACCTCAATGGAGTTTTGATTTGATATTATCATCAGAAATGATGAAAAGATTGGTTTATTATAACACTCTCTCCTGTGGTGTTTAGATTCAAGCTGCATTCCGAACAGATGAGAGTAGAAGAACACCTCCGACTCCACAAGATGAAGTGAGAGCTGGAATGAGCTATACATGCGACAACAAAGCTTTTCCTCAAGATTCTTCTGCATTTTTTTTTATAAGGATGATTCTTCTGCATTAGCTAGCTATTTCCACTAATTGCTACATTTTGAGATTTTGTTTAAAGTTTAACCATGTTAAATTCGTGTTTGTTCTTGGTTAATTCACAAAAGCAAACCATAAGCTCTGGAAACCAGAGAAGGGAATCGGAGAAGACCGAGTGATAAAGTTTGATTTTTTAAATGAATAGTTGGAGAACATGCTCTTGTCACCAAACTTGTACCTTGATACTGACAAATCTAAACAAAGTGTTATTTAACGGACTCCACCTAAACCAGTGTGATATTAATAAGTATAGCCCACATAATTATGTACTCTAAACCGGAGTGATCTTAATAAACTTAATTTGGTGTGATCTTAATTAGTTTAATTACTTTAACCTCATCAAACAAATATTTGTAACACAATTTCTTTAAAATTTCATGTTTTTAATATAAATTTGGCAGGAAACTTCAAATAAACAATAAATATAGTAAATTAAATTTTGGGATAACAAAAAATATGTGTAAATAATTTCAAAATGCAAAATAAAAAACTACAAAAGTCTTCCGCAAATTGGTTAAAAATGTTATTTTATTACTATCAAAACCTAAATATTACGGGTTTAGGATCATGTATTAACGGTTAAAGGTCGGTCCGGTATCAAAAACTCTTATCCAAAATATATCCATAAAACAAAAGTTGAATACTAAGGGACACGGTTTAGATACCAACAAGACCATGTAATTATAATTTAAACTGTAATTTTCATAATTAAAAATACAATCATATGGATGTAAATATCAGTCGGGTAAAAAAACTGTTACCCAAAATTTATCCATACATCAAAAGTTAGATATTAGCGGGCAATGTACGGATAAGGACAAAATAATATAAATTATAATCCAAACTGTTATTTTAATAAATAAAAATACAATGAAACAGATGTGAAGGTCAGTAGATTATCAAAAGTGATTACCTAAAATTTATCCGTAAAGTAAAAGTTAGATATTAGCAAGAAAGGTTCGTGTACAGATTATATCATTTAGTTATAATCCAAATAGTTATTTTCATATCGATCGGTCGGTATCAAAAACTATTTAAAACGAGAGAAGCTTGCCGAGAGATGTAAAGGTCCATTGTTTAAAGTTTAGCTTTAGTGTCGCGGAGACAACAAATAGTTAGTGCCAAACCATCACATTAATTTGAAAGAAAACGTTCCAAACAATTCCTAATTTAATTTTCAATTTTATCAATATTTTAAAACAAATAGCTATAAACTCCTGCGGCAGAACTTATAATAAGTATATTTTTTCAGAGTGCAAAAAGTCTCCCGCAGCGGAGCGCGGGTATCAATCTAGTGTCATCAAAAGGCTCAAAAATATCTTGGAAGCCAAAATCTCCAAATAGTTTCCAGACATTGCTTTGATGCGTAAAACAAAGCAAGAGTTGGTTGTGGCTTACATACATGAGGATCTTTTTTGGCGTCAGAAAAGTAGAGAGCAGTGGCTCAAAGCGGGAGATCGAAATACCAAGTGCTTCCACAACTGTGTGAAGGGTAAGAAGATACAGAACATGATCCTCATGCTTAAAGATGACTTAGGTGTTGAGAATTTTTCTGAAGGTGCTAAAGGTAATATATAGATGTGGCGTACTTTAGGGATCTTTTCCTCAGTACCAACCCCTACGATTTGGAGTCGTTATTTCAAGGTTTCCAGGAAAGATTTTCTCCTGACATGAACTCGTTCCTTACGTTGCCAATTACCAGTGAGAAAATCAAACTAGCTGCTTTCGGTGTGAAGAGCAGTAGCGCTCCAAGAGATGATGGGCTTTACTTTCTATAAAAAAATACTGGCATATTGTTGGTCACAATGTAATAGAAGAGGTCCGAGGCTTTTTCAACACAGCGATGCTTCCTCCTGACTGGAATCACACACAGATTTGCTTGATACCCAAAGTTACAAACCCCACATTAATGAAGGATATGAGACCAATTAGCCTCTGCTCAGTTCAATACAAAATCATCTGGAAGATATTGTATGACCGGCTCAAGACCTCTTTACCAGCCATTATGAGACCCAAGGTGCGTTTGTATCGGCCGCTTGATATCTGACAATATCATGATTGCCCATGAGATGGTTCATTGTCTCCATACCAATCCCAAAGTTGTAACAAAGTTCATGGCTGTCAAGACAAATATGTCTAAAGCATATGACAGGGTTGAATGGTGTTTTTTTGGAAGTACTCTTAGAGAAAATGGGGTTTGATAGAGTTTGGATCCGTTAGGTGATGTCCTCTGTTAACTTAGTGACGTATACGGTTCTGCTCAATGGACGTGCACATGGTTTTATTAGACCTGAACGTGGTATTAGGCAGGGAGATCCGCTCTCTCCCTTTTTATTCATCCTATGCCCTGAAGTCTTAGTAAGTTGCCTAAATCATTCTGAAGCGATGAGGAAGCTCCATGGTACTAGCTTGGCTCCGTCTGGTCCTTCTGTCCACCATTTATTATTTGCAGACGACAGTCTGCTTATGTGCAGAGCTTCGAAAGAGGAAGCTGAGGAGCTTATGAGATGCCTTAAAAGCTCTATGGAGAGTCTTCTAGACAGATGATCAACTTGATGAAGTCCTCTATTATTTTTGGTAAACGGTTACTATGGCTGATTGCGGTGAAGTGAAGATAGCTCTGGGGATACATAAAGAAGGAGGGGATGGCACTTATCTTGGATTACCCGAGAGTTTAAGTGGTTTCAAGAGGAAACTCTTAAATTTTATCCAAGAGAAACTCCAGGGTCGTCTACATGGTTATTTCGCTAAAGACCTCTCTCAAGGTGGGAAATAAATTCTTATAAAATCTGTGGGTTTGGCTCTTCTTGTGTTTGCCATGTCTGTTTTCAGACTCCCTAAAGATCTGTGCAGTAAACTTACCAGCGCCATGACCCAGTTTTGGTGGAGTAGTTGTGATAATCGAAAGAAGATTCCTTGGGTAGCATGGCAGAAACTCTGCAAGGATAAAAATAAATGAGGTCTTGGTTTCCATGATATTGGAAAATTCAATCAGTCTTTACTTGGAAAGCAGGCTTGGCGAATCTCGAAGCGTTCAGACTCTCTCCTTGCACAGATTTTGAAACATCATTACTTCAAAAACAGTGACTTCCTTGAGTGTTCTGCATGGAGAAGCTTGTTACATGGGATAGAGTTTCTTAAAAAGGGTCTAATGAAGTGTATTGGAGATGGGAAAGAGACGCATGTATAGGGTGATAAATGGATTCTAGATGGCCTGCCGAGACCGCCGGATTACAGAGTTGACAGTACAATTGATTTATCTATCCATGTCTCTGATCTGATTGACCCTAATACATCACAGTGGGATGTTAACCGAGTCTCTCTGACTTTTAGTCCAGCTGATGTACAAAGAGTACTGCGGATCAAACTGGTCTTCTCCTGTAGTGACTCTTTGGTTTGGGTCTTTCTAGGGATAGTTCTTACACATCTTGAAGTGGATATAAACTCCTTGACACTATACATGACATGGAATCTCCTATACAGACTGGTCTGCCTCCTCTTGAGAAAAAGCTGTGGTCAAATCTATGGAAGATTAGAACTTCCCCAAAAATACGCCACTTTATGTGGAAAGCTTAGTCAGGTGCCCTTGCGGTAAAGGAGCGTCTGTGTACCTGTGGTAGCAAAATGGACCCTACCTGCAGCTTCTGTGAGACAGGTTTAGAGAGTTTTTTCCATGTTCTGTTCACGTGCGTCAAAGCTAAGGAATCTTGGGATCTATCTCAAATACCTTTACCTTCTGCAGGTTTTTAGCTCATGCAATCGCAGTAAGTGTTATTGCCAATGATATGTTTCAATTATACGTTGCCAGGAATGGTCCTTTATGGTTGAGGTTTGCTATTGAGGAGGATGTTCGATATGGTTAATCTCTGTTTGCCATAACCATTTCTCTGCAGCTGCTGCCTGTCCCTGGTTTTGATTTGAATATGGCCTGTTTGTCTCTGGCCCTTTCTATCTCGGAGCTCTATTGAGTCTCCTCTCTAGTAGCCCTTCTTATATTTTCCTTTTTTAACTCTCTATTTGTTGTTTTGTTTTTCCGAATTTTGGGTTTGTTGTTCTTAGGCCTATTGGTCTAGCTGCCTAAACCCTTTGTAGTTCGAGTTCTTTCTTTATACCCAGAGTTAAAAAAAGAAAAAGAAAAAAGAACAACATTTAATATGAAATCAAAGGAAGTCTCTCTAGAATACTTTACTACAACACTACTAGGCAAATATTTTTGTCGAAACAACAATACTTCCAAGCAATTGAAGTAGGTCAAACATTTGTCTATTCTCAAATAGAGAGATATATAGATCTTGAGAGAAGATAGAATTTGGAACTATTTATTACCTTATGAAATGTGAGTTAACTAGAAGCTTATATATCTTGATTATTTTTGTCGACATCTCATAAAAGTGATATCGGAAATACAATGACAGTTAACGATAAAAAACACGGATCGGATTCGTATACTGTCAAGTGTCAACCCTTTGGATAAA